GCAAAACACAGAAACCCTGTAAGCACGGCAGTAGGTAAGTATGAAACATATTGAACAAATTAAGTTCCATAGTGCGCACCATTCAACTTTGCACGGTAGCATCATCAATTTTCCACTTTCCAAATTGTGGATCTTTGGAATCTGGGGCATTAGTCATGAGTTAGGTAACCCAATTTTCCTTGTGAAGTAGCATAAAGTTCGATCATCGAAACCCAAATCATATAGTTGGATCCATTCAATTTGAATCCCAAGAGTAGGTTGGTAGACGATTCAGTATAAACCATCGCAATAGGGATAAGAGAAGCAGTAGGTGAAGTAAAATCATAAGCAAGTGAAAAAATAAAGGCATCAACATTTGGCATGGTGATGGATGGTGGGGTGGTGGCAGAGGCAACAATAGCAAGGTAGGCGGCAACGACGGTAGCAAGGTAGACGGCGGCAACGGGCTAGGATTATAGGCTAGGTGTATAGTGCAATGGAAATAGTTAGTGTTTAGGGTTAGGGTTTTTTTATGTTGTAGAGACAGATCAAAACACAACAACATCATCGGCAATGACCATAACAACGGAAAGTGAAGCAAACAAAGGCAACATTAACAGCAGCAGTAGCATCAATGGCAATAGCAACGGAAAATGACAACAACAAATTCTTTCATATCAATTTTAGCTAATTCACTCAAACACAACTTCTCTTCACTCCCCCTTTCCCCTGGAAGAGAAGGGGTCGTCGGAGTCAAGAAATAGACAATATCTTCATGGGAAAGAGAAATAGATCTTTTTCAGTCCCCCTCCCCCTTTTGAAGAGTCACAGAAAACATAGCTACGATACCATGTTAAATTCATAGAGACGGGCCAGCGGCCCACTACTAACAACACTGATATTGTCCCCAACTTAACCACCTACAAAGCCTAGTAGGTGTAGGGTTTTATCACAAAAGGCCTCGTTGTTATTAGTAGTAGAACCATTAATTATATTTTGTATTGGGTTTTTAACTGTAGACATCCCTGAACTTTGCCCCCAGTTGCAATTGGGTCCGTGAACTTTTTTTAAAGCAATTACATCTTGTTGAGGCCCAAAAATCCATGGTTGGGCCCAAATAAATTCTCGGGCCAACGCAATGCCTTATTAAGAAAAAGACCCAATTTGAAGCATGCGGAATTCGTCATGCACGCTTTCACGAGCCACGACCACGTGCCATGCCAAATAAATATGCAATTTATCACGCTAAGAATTAAAATGAGCCTATAAAAGGCATTGGCTCTACAAGCTCATACTAATTATTTCGTCAAGCATTATGTCTCTTTTCAAAGACTATAAAATTCAAGCACACCAATTGACATGCCATGCCAAGCAGGAAATCATTATTTCACACATAGCCACGCTACAAGCTTAAGTGGGCCCAAGCCAGGGCTTGCTTGAGTGGGTTGTGGTATGGATGGTAACGAGCTTTCATGGGGCCCATTGATGAGCCAAGAAATGGAAGTTTTGGGCTGCTTGGGAGCCCCAAAACTCAAGCCCATTTCTTAAGCCCAAACACATGGGTTAGCATGAGAGAGGGGAGAAAATGATCCAATGCCTTAGGAGGATATCTAATAGTCTACCATAGCACTTAGACAAATCCAACATCAATAGAATGCCTAAAATCAACAAAGCCTTTTCCAGCAGTTTGACGAAAACCCATCCCACGCTGGAAATAATAGGCCAACGACCCAATATTGCACACGAGCCCAGCCTAGCGACTTGTAGAAAAGTTGGCGCCGTGCTCCATCCTTGTTAGGACTCCAAGATGGTCAAATAGGAAGCCATGACAGAGACCAACAGAAATCCATGAGTGTAGGAAGAAGAGCCAGCGGACAAAAGCTCCACCTATCTCCTTTTCCGTTGCAAGCTCTATTTTGAAAACCAAGGAGAAAAGAAGGAGGCGCTCCACCCCTATGGAGAAAAACCAGCTGTGCCAAAACCTTGGAACCACAAAGAACTCCTTACCCATGCACCTTCGATGGGAGAATTTCACCAAATAGGATTGAGTGGAAAGAAGCAACGAAAAAGGGAGGAAAATGTTAGATGAAATTAGGGTTCTTCAAGCCTATAAAAGAGAGCTTCTTCTACCCAGAAAATCACCATCCAGAGCTTGACCAAGCTTTGTCAAGCATCTGAGAATTTACTCAAGCCACCCAATCTTCATCTTTGTTTGTTTTCTTCTTCCCTTAAGGTAGAAATCGTTATAATCTTCCTCTGCCCACTGCAAACCCTTGTTCTCTGTAAGAAATTCATGCTTCTCTCTCTCTCAAATTGCTAAACTTGTGAAAGCTTAGCTCCCATGCCACAAGCTCCTCAAGCTAAGCCATTAATTAATTTATCATGTTTATTTGGCTATTGGTGAAAAGAACTTGAGGGTGTTTTTATAAGGTTTCATCAAACCTTTCAAAAACTCTTTTAGGAGCTTGGTTTCTGAACTTAGATACTTGGGGAACTTCTGTTCGTTTTCTTCTTACGGCAACCTAAGCCCATTCGTCAGGCTGCTGGAAAAAAAGACCCCCACACATCCTTTAACTTCACAAGTAGTTCCAATTAGGTCCTGCAATCCAAGTCTATTAATTTGTCCGTCAAAATGAGGGGTAAAAGTGTCCTTTCAAGTTCCAAGAGTCTCCTTCGTTGGATAATCCCGCATGTGAACCTCCATACTCTCCGTCTCCTTCTCCTCCACATTCACCCCCATCCCCCTCAAGCTCTCCTCCTCCTCAGCGTTGGCCGACATGGCCAAATCCAACAACACCCTCGAAACCACCGCTAGCAACATGGAGAAGATCGACAAGTTCTTCGGCGAGCCGACTGTCTTTGTTATGGAATGAATTGGTTGATGTTTGAGTTGCTGTGGAGGGATTTCTTCAGGTAAATAAATAGACCATGAAGCTAAAATCACACGAGAACTATGACTTCATCTTGTCCTTCTCTATCAACAATTCTTCCATCACCTGATTGGCTCTTGCATATACACCCTACTCTCTACTTTAGCTCGAAATTCAAACATATCAAGTTGAAGATGTGTTATAATATGGGTAGTACTGTACTGATTTTTCTTTATATCCCTGCCCAATACAGATTTGCACTAAGAAATACAGTTCTGCAAAGAAACAGCTTAGGGAAGAACTTAAATTGGATGATGAGATGTTGAGATATGGCTTAGTTTCAACGCTTTTAATTTTCCAAGATGTAGCAGTTAGATGTTGTAGGGTTCCTCTGAAGGAGTTGTTCCTTGTTGAACCTTTTTTTCGGTTCCATAATATGGTTGAATATGGAGATTTGCCCCATTCTTCATATGTTCTCATGTGAATAACAGAAACCCATTGACAGAGACCCCATCTATCACCATGCCAAGATCTAAAACTCTCTCTCTCTCTCTCTCTCTCTCTCTCTCTCTCTCTCCCCCCTCCTTGTTCAGCTGGCCATAGTGAAAACTCCAATATACCCCTCACAACAAGAGCACGTGCCATTCACACGGTCAAACTCGATAGATTCTGTTATGGAAAGACCCAATTGGAACTACTTATGAAGTTAAAGGATGAAATTGCCTCAAAAAAAAAGTTCACATACCCAATTGCAACTAGGGGCAAAGTTCAGGGACGTCTACCGTTAAAAACCCTTTTGTATTTTATTTAGTCAAGTTTTCGATATGGGACTCATATTCTTCAATAGTTTTGCCCAAAGACAGAGAGTAGAGAGAGATGAAGTCTTTTTAGTTTTTTATTCTTTCAGACAGGTTTTCCCAAAAAAGATAGTTTTGCCACTTGATTTCACGAAATAATTGACAGACTTTGACGATAGGACGGTTTTGATACTAAATGGAGAGTTGAAGGACTATTGAAATGAAAATTTTAGTTTGTAGACCAAAATGTAACTCGAGCAATAGTAGGGGGACCATTTCGGTCAATAATCCTTCTTTTTTAATATGAGAAGGGTTTATTTGATAACCATTTCTTTTTCATTTTTCAATTTTTTTTTTACTTTTTTCTCATTCATTAAATTTACCTCACCATAAATGCACTCCAATTATCAAAATTCAGTATTTGGGACGTCTCGGCTTGGACCTGGCCACTCAATTCTTGTGTTCGGGCATGGACCTAGTCCAAGCCTGGAGACCTCCATATCCAAAATTCAAAAAAGAAAATCATTCTAATTCCAAAAAATTCACCGAAAAATACTCTGAAGTCTTTGTAACATGCACTTTCATTCTATGATCTCAAATTCACAATTTGACTCCTAAAAAATTTCATTTCCAAGTACCACATAAAACTGAAAAACTAAAAACTGAAATCAGTTACCAAACAAGTTTTGTTCAGTTTTCAGTTTTTTGAAATCTAAAATTGGTTACCAAACAAGTTTTTTATTTTCAATTTCTTAAAAATGAAAACTGAAAAGTGAAATGGTTATCAAACAACCCTAAATTGACAACATTATGTTGCCAACTGGATTTTTCTTTTTCTTTTTTTCAAATCAAGTAATTTATTTATTTATTTTAACTTCTCTTCTTCTTCGAGTTTTTAGAAAGTTCGAAATACCTAGTTAGCCAACCCCAAAAAGGAGAAATTCTTACGTGAAACGAGAGATAACACTAATTTGCTATCCCCAACAATTCACGGCATGTCATGCGTGATAACTTTTATATGTAGCATATTGTGATTGGCTAAAGTAGCAAAACAGTACTATCCCCGTTTCATACAAGTTTTTCTGCCCAAAAAGACCTAAAAAGTAGTTGAGTTCATAATAATCTCTTACCCAATCAGCTATAACACCCAAAAAATATCTAAAAAAGCAGCCAACATAATACCCATTTACCCAATCACTATATTAAAAAAAGGAGCATAAAATATGGAAAGCGGATCCCATGCCTATGAGGTTTCTTCATCACCTCCACTCTATTAGAAAAACTTGTATGGAACGGGAGTAACACTGTTTTGCTATTCCCAGCCAATCATAGATTCCCACATAGAAAAATCCGAGCAAGTCCGTTGGTCTCCTTTGACTTGTTGACTTTATAATACAATTAAAGGTCCGCATGTCTTAATTTCGATGACCAATAAAAATTGTACAATTCTTCTACAACAAAACTGAAGAAGCACAAAATAACAGCAGTCGGATAAAGTCGTATATGACCCAAAAGAGAGCAGAAACTGTCACCGCAAGAGAACCCACCACCATAAGATCAAGACTCGGCAGAGTTGCTTATACTACAACACTCTGTCTTGGTTGGTTAAGAACACAATAACATAATAATTATTGGGTTCGTTTCAAATGCCCCTTGTTTCTGTTCATCACTTCTTTTTTTCTCAGCTTGAATTGTGCAATGGAACAACCCAGACGACAATAAAAGCAAAATATACCCTACATCATCATACAATCACTAGAGACTGAATTGCTTGGATCAACTAACAATGCCACGAAATCTCCAAATCGTTAAAACGCAGCATTCAAAATTTATTTACACCTAAGATGCCAAATATTAATATCCTTTGAGGTCATACTGTTCTTCCAATGCTAACTCGAGAATGATTTCGGACTTGTGCTTCCCATTTTTCATATTTAAAGCTTCAGTGGTAAACCATCCTCAACATAACCTCCACCAGAGCAAATGAAAACCACCCCTCGTGTCCTCGTCGCAGTAGAATTCCATGTTGCTCCAATCAATGTGCCGACCTTCTCTCCCATTATGGCTTTTGAGATGTTACCAGGTTTGCTTAGATTGAACACAACAACTGCATCATACGAAAGAATCAATAAGAGCCTGTTGAACATGGTAATAAGTTTGGATATTACAAATACCAAGATCAAGCTGAATGGCATTAGGTAAAAAAGATAAAAGGAAAAGAACTGAAAAGAAAAAATTATATATATTTTGGATACTTGTCTAAACATTCCAGTAATGTAATTAAAAAAATTAAAAATAAATAAATAAATAAAACATACCAGGAATGTTGTTTTCCTGACATAAAGTAATGGCAGTCATGTCCATCACTGAAAGATCTTTGGACATCACCTCCTCATATGTTAGATTATCAAGAAGACGGGCATTTGGGCTACACCTTGGATTGTCGTCGTAAACCCCATCAACATTTGTAGCTTTCAGTACAACCTCTGCATTGACTAGATCAACAAGAAAATGAAAGACAGTTTGAAACAAAGAATATAGTTCGTGAACTTACCAAGATTTCTAGTTTTGAACACAACCTCTACATTGAATGAAATATAATAAAAATTGAAGCAAAGAAAATAGTTACTTAATTGACCTTTTCCATCAAAGATAAGTTGAAATTCAGCAATCAGGATTATATGGTGCCACAGTCAAGACAGTGTTAGAACAAACTTGGTATATTAGTAACTTCGGTCAAATTTTGAAATTTTTTGAAACATGCTATATAAATGATTTTGAACCACATTGGTTTGCCTCACTATGATAGATACCATGAAGTCTCATTAAACCAAGGCAGCACTCAAACACAAAAGATTCAACTTACTTTTTGCACCACGAAGTGCTGCAGCAGTATCTGTGGTAAAGAATGGATTTCCAGTTCCTGCTGCAAAGATCACTACCCTCCCTTTCTCCAAATGCCTCACAGCCCTTCAACAGATGTAAGGCTCTGCAACCTCAGACATACGAAACGCAGTCTGCACTTGAGTAGGGATGCCTATACTTTCCATTGTTGCTTGAAGAAATATTGAATTCATGACAGTTGCCAACATCCTATAAAATTGAATGTAAACAGTAAATAGAAAATAAAAGAGGAGAAATATGCATACTTCAAAGAAAGTTTCTAAGCTTAAAAAATATAATACTCCCTCCAAACCCCAATTTTCATGTCATATAAGGCAAATATTGCTCAACTTTCCCATACGAACCACTACCCATTTCCTTTCATCCGACATTTTAAAGTTGGAAATGGTAAATATTGGGAAATTCAAGTTAAAATAGTGAGTGAAGGGAGTATTGTGGTCTACTAAGTGGTGCTAATTACAATATAGCCCACATTTTGTACAGGTCCTACAAGCATTGCTAAATGACTAGTAACAAAGTTCCTGTTTCTATCTTCTTTAGTGTTACAAAACAAAAGTATCTGGTACAATCTGGGGAGAGAGAGAGAGAGAGAGAGAGAGAGAGCATATGGATGAAAAAGCACTAAGGTCCAAAACTTCAAAAAATAGCATTTTGCATCTACAACTTCATTTTAATTTTATGCTTCTGATATAACATATTCTGTTAGATTGAAAGATCAACTACTCAAGAATCAAATTATCCCAAGTCCACAGTACATGAAATGGACAAGCTTCAGATAAGTAATCACCCAATCACACTGCAAATTATAAACATGTGAAAACACAACTGCATAATACCAAAAATCCTGACAGGTGAGATCAGACAACATTCAGACAATCCCGATAAAAGGAATTACCCAATGTAATCAGCAGATGATCGGTCCAGACCGCTGCTTCCAGCCCAGGAAGATCCATGGAAGATATTTCCCCACCAACCACAATTGCAACCTGAAATATTTTACTAAGATAACTAACACATATCCAGATGCCAATAAACTACGTTTTTGGATTTCATAAGCTCCCTGAATCTCATTAGTACAATCTGATGAGCTATTTATAAGAATACTAAACCATTGGAACAATTCCAATTCATGCAATGCCAACATTATGCTGGATATTTCAATTAAAAAAGCCTACAATCCAATTCTTCTTATCCTGAATCATTTCCCAGTCTGCATGTTAATCTGTGCATAGATAATTCTGGAATCCCGAAATTTCACTAAGTTTAACTATATAAAACAGTTATTGTAATCATCAACCTCGCATGAAAATAATATCACAAGGAAAATATTAAAATTACTTTTTTGGGTGCGTGTGTACACACCCCTACCTCAAGTATATAAAGAGAATAGGCACTGTAAAATACAGTTCTCTAATGTAAAGCATTGAACGTTACCTCAATGCCAAGACGAGTCACCGATGCAACCTCACTTGCAATTTCCATTGTTACCTAATATTGTAAGGGGAAAAATACTCCTATTTCAGAAACCAAGAAAAGAAGGATAATTATCACAGAATGGTTTAAGAATTTATCAGACCTTTGGGTCAATATTCTGTGTGTGATCTCCAGCAAGTGCTTCTCCGCTTACTTTAAGCAAGACCCTTTGCCATTTATAAGATGTTCCAGACAAGCAATTTCCATTCATTGTCACCCCAAAGGGAGCCAGAGATGGCATTTGAGTATCTGTCAAACGACATGAAGTTAACAAAGTAGAAACTGGAGAAATGGTGTCTAAATTAACAGTAGAAGACTAATACAAGAAGAAAAATCATTGCAATTTTCTCAAAATTCAACATCCAAGAATGCAACATACCCTTAAAGTACTATCCCTGAGTAAAAACAGTTAACAACAGCAATAATTCCTTGAACCGTGGTGAATCATCCAGGGGAAGACGAAGGGTTCAAGCACAGATTGATTATTATATATTTTACAAGATTGGATATCTCACCACAAAATCAAGTATTTATAAGGGAAAAATTGCTTGACTAGGTCAGGAGTATGTGCTAGTCAACTAAGGACCCACCCAGTGTAACTGAGATCGCTACAGCCCCTTGCTACTGCAATCCGGATTTAGGACCCAAAACATGGTGCAATCTCACTCTGGATCACTACGAAAAGAAAAATATACAAGAAAATTATCTTTCTATTGGTGAAGTACAAATGTGGTTGAAAAGATATTTAAAGAAACAAAGCAACCCTAATTAGAGTTCTAATGTGTCATGTGGTCCAAAGGAGTGAACTAATTATAACTACCTCCAGCGCACCACATTCTAACTAAAGTAAATTACAATGTAACCATGCTTATATCACATAGAAGATTGGACAACGCCCTATGTAAAATTGATCCACCAGTTGCAAGCCACTTCGTGACTGGCCCAAATATGGTCACCAAGAATCAGAATATTTGAGCATATGAGAACTTGGGAGCCATATTCAGACCAATGGTCTGTAATACTTTGTAAATTATCATGCACTAGCAGCATGCAAATTCTACACCACAATAGTAGCTACCATATTTCTAATCACTCCAATACTGGTGATGGATGTGTATAAGATCGTGTGAACATACACATGCCAATCAATCGAAATAACGAGTCCTAGAATGTTCTGAAAGAATACAAATGATGCAAAGGGAAGATGTTTGTAGCTAGTGCTACGAGCCAAGAAAAAACTTCATTCTCTACACACCAACTTAAACGCTGAATGCAAAAATGACAATTCTCATCAACACACGTGTATGTGAAGAGTAGAGATTCTACGGTCAATTTTCACCTACATTTTCTTTTTGATGAATAAACTCAGATCAGTTGACTAAACCCTACTATTTGCATAGGTAGTACCAAGACTTAGAAGCAATTTTTTAATAGTGGTTGATATACTGTATCATTATGGGTTGGAGCGCCCATGAACATATGCTGCTTAATAATATATTGCTGGATCTGTAATTTCGAGGGGATATTGCAGATTTTGGGTTAGCTAGATTGAAATAGGAGACTCCAGTTGTTTCTAGAGTACGATGAGTCTACATGAATGGTGGGCACCGAGTGTTGGTGGGAAACAAGGAGTTGATGAAGAACAAAAAGTACGGAGCAGAGGATAATGGATATGTGGTTGCGGATAAGGATTGATGTTTAAGGAAAATGGATTCATGGGTCGAGATGGAACAAATGGGCTATGTAATTGGACTGCAATTTAATGGATATTGTGAATAGGATGTTAAGGAGTGACTAAGTAAACTGAAATGATCATTCAAGTAGTGAATTGTCTGGAAATTTTTAGAGTGCTCATGAAACCCAGACATGTAAGAAACAAAAGGAAATAGCCCAGAAAGCTATTCTACCTATAAACACAGTCAAAACACAAAAATAAGCCAGATTACTGAATTGCAGCCCCACAATTCCCATGAATAATGAAGGGTCTATCTCTAATGATGCCCAAATATGTACTCTCCCACAACGAAATAGTCTCCTCCTCCACCCTTCCTTCAAAATGAAGCCCAAAAACTACCATTTTTATTGTTCACAACATCCATGGGTGCAATCACATTCGATCTGGGAATATTTACATAACATTGAAATTTAATACAAAATTTAAGGACCAAAGTAATATTAAAGTTCTTCACTTTCACTAACAAACCTTATCAAATTATTGCAACCATTTTATTTCTTTTGCAACTTTTGAAACTTACAGAGCATAAATAAGAATGTTCTAAAAATTAACGTTATGATTCCCCCACTCAGTCAACCAAAACAATCACAACAATGGGAAAAAAAAGCTTAGTTCAAAAAATTAATAAATGAAATGCGAATGCAGTTGAATTCTGAATGAAAAGGGGCAGGATTAACTGACACAAATACAGTTGAATTCTGAATAATAAAGGGGAAGGATTAACTGACACTAATTCTTTGTACGATTTCTTTTTACTGATCTTGCAGTCGAATTTGATGTTCTAATCATGCTCGTTCAATTTTTCAGTGGGATATATGTAACCATTCATAATTGATGTGGTACTAAAACATATACTTATCATAAACATTTTCTTACTATAAATGAACCTACTTTGTCGGATGCTTGCCACATTAGATAAACTTGAAATTAGGTGAACATTAGATATATGATTAAAGCATCGAAAAAAAAAATGTTCCTATAAAAGATATTAATCTGTACCACAAAAGTATAATAACTAGCTAGGTTTACACCATTGCTAATTGGTACTGCCCACACTAAAATGATTAATAGTCTCAAGGAACATGGCTTTGAACATTATACAGCCATTCATAAACCATAAACTTACTTCAAAAAATCATAACCACCATCAACTGAGAACCCCAGTCCAATTCCAAGAGTTCCACTTAGACATTTCTACAAACACCTAATACCCCTAGTTCTTTCCAAACTTCACCATAAAACCGGAATTTCGTCACTACCCATTACATCAATCATAGAAGGAAAGTCACTTGTAGTCCCATACCTTACGTTCACAAAGTCAGAACTGGAATCCATTTCAGAAGATGAGCAGTTAACCACCAACCGCCCATGCAAGTGTTGATTACTCGCCAACAAACCATGGTAACGGGAACTCAGAGACGAACATGAAAATGAAGAGGGCAAAGAAGAAGAGGAGAAAGATGAGACGGTATAGAGAGAAAGAATAGGGACAGAGGAGGTGGAAATTGCCATAAAAAAACTGAAATTTTTTTATTTATTTATTTTTTCATTTTCTTGTATATTTTTAAAGTTTCTTTTAGGTCAATAATGTCCTTTTTGTTGTGTTTGTGGGACACTAATTTAAATGTCTTTTTGACATTTTTAGACATGGGCCCATTTCATCCAAATATTGAGCTGCCTTTGGTGGTGATGGGTTCTGTTTTATCAGAATTCTACTAACATTCTCGATGTCGGTATCATCAGTCTTGCTGAAAGAGGAATTGTGAACTATGTAGCACAGACACTCCATAAGGCTGAAGTATCGGAGTATCTGACACGCGGACACGCCTCAGACACAATTTGGACACGGGTCAATGGTCAAGATATGGTTAATACACTTTTGGACACGATCAATTGAAGTCAAAACACGGCAGGGACCATTTTGGAAAATTTTAAAATAAAAACTAAGGTCACAACATAATTATTGAAACAATTGTGGGCAAATTTGAAATAGTTTTAAAAAGCCCCATCTTTCATTAAAAAAAAACCCAGCTTTTCTTCTCTCCCTCTCCACATATTCTTTCTTCTCATCTTATTTTAAAGGGTTATTTATTCAAATAGTCCTCAAATACCCAATTTACATTTTAGCCCCTAAACTAAATTATTTGTTTAAATGGTCCATAAACTCTATATTATTTGGTCCATTGGTCCTACCATTACATTTTGTCAATGTTGCTGTCAAATGTAGGGGTAAAATCGTCCATAACCGTCCACAAGTCTGCTCGTAAATGACAAAGGCACCATTTTTATCTACCTTCTTCTTCCTATGTTCCCCAAATTGAAACCTAAGTGCAGACGAAAGAGAAAGGCCTCCTGTACAAGAAGCAGTAAAAGAAGGTTCTCGAATTCGTCACCAAAGTCAACGATATCGACACCATCATTGAACAAGCCGACGAGGCCGATTGCCTTTTCTCCATTAACAACCCAACCCCAAACCTCCTCATAGACTTGTAAGTTTCCCCGCGGGGGGGGGGGGGGGGGGGGGGGGGGGGAGAGAGAGAGAGTCAGTGCCTAAAATATCCATGCCACGGCATAATAGCTCATGTATGTGTATGTGGCTAATCTAATAGTAGGATAAAGAAAGAAAGAAAAGGGCAAATCAAATTTGGGGTTTCATTTCATGGGAAAATGAGCTTCAACAACACACACTCCAGCCAGTCCAGTCCACAAAAGATGCCCTCGTGCTTTTGCGATGCTGTTGTATTTTTATCAAAGGTTAACTAGTGATTTTCCCCCTAAATTTGTACCTAAGTTTCACTTGACCCTCTATCCTTTTTTTTTTTATAGAAAATTAAGGACCTGAACTATTTTTTTTTTTGCCAATATGCCCCCCGACGTCAAAATCTGCCACTTCGCATCCATTCTATTGTCAAGTTGGAGGTTACTTTTGTCATTTTGTGTCTCCGCTCAACTCAACCCAGGCTTCAGCTATCTCTTCCTTCTTTTTGGCTCTTTTTTTCCCAAATCAATTTCCCTCCATTTTTCTAACCTCTATTTTTGTACCCTAATAAAAGGGGATCTAGGGTTTAGGAGAAAACCCAATATTACTAGATAAGCAGGTCCTTACCTGGCAGAAGTCATGGAAGTCATGGGTCACAGAGGTGGAATAGGTGAAGAGGGTAGTTCATGGATGGTACCTTCAGTCGTCTGCTACTATGGCAAGACTACGAAAATCCAAACATCTTGGACTACTGCACATCCAGGGAGGAGGTTTTACATCTATGAGAGGGTAAGTTTGTAATTGAAATTTGGGTTGCAGATTTGAAATTTGGGTTGCCGATTAGAAATTTGGACTCATGCACATCTTTATTTTTTTATTTTTTTTATGTATCAGTTGTGTTTTGAAAATTTTGTTTCCAATTGCCCAAAAGGTCATATAAGCAAGCAAGCGAACATATGTTTTGCAACACTATCCAACCAAAACATATCCATTCTAGGCTAAGATATCCATTACAAAACATATGTTTCAACACTAATCCAAGCAAAACATATGTGTTCCAACATTAATCCAACCAAAACATTTGTGTTCCAATACTAATCCATTCAAATTAGTATGAGAATCCTAGGACCATATCAGCTACAAATTCATCAAAATCAAATGTGTTCCAAAACATATCCATTACAATACAAAATAAGCAGTCCTAATGTTTTGGTGTTCCAAAAAACCTTTGAGCCCCATGACCACATATGACCCAAATCAGCAAATCTCAACTACACTCTCCATGGCCTTGATCTTTTTGCTAGAGATACATTTTCTGAGTTTGGTTGAGAAGCATGCCCAATTTGATTTCCCTATAAGGTAGCACCAGTTTGAACAAGCTGCCTTGTTTGTTGAAACACTAACTCCCCCTCTTCTCGCCTATTTGAATGACCAAAATCAGCAAATCA